GTGTGTGTGTGTGTGTGTGTGGAGAGAGAGATGGATCCCTCAGGTGTCTCTTCTTATAAGGACACTAATCCTATTGGGTCAAGGCCCCACCCTTATGACCTCATTTAACCTTAATTAGTTCTGCAAAGGTCCCATCTCCACCTACAGTCACATTGGGGGTTAGGGTTTCACCATAGGGATTTAGGGGGACACGGTTCCATCCATATTATGTGGAGTGACAACTGGTGACTGTCAAGGGCTTGCCCTGCGCCAGGTACCACTCCAGCAGTAATTCCCTTACTCCTCACAGCAGCTCTCCAAGGTGGGGGCTGCTAATTAGCCCATTTTACAGACCAGGCGAGTGAGGCTTCAGAGGTGAAGTCACCTGCAGGGTTGCAGAGCTCAGGAAAGGTAGAGCTGGAATCCGAACGCAGCAGTTAGAGTCCAGAGTCCGCCCTCCTCACCCTCAGGGGTATACTGTGAGCTGGCTGGCCTGTGATTGTCAGTGGAGGCAAATGCTGTTCTCTTGTGCATCCAGTTTCAGGGGCTTCTGAACTCCCCGAAGCAGGTGGGAGATCCAGGCTGGGAGCTCCCTGAGAGGCGGCCCCGGGTCTGCCTTGCTCATAACCAGAGCCCCAGCCGGAGCCCCGGGGAATGGGCACTGTCTTGGTGAGTGGTGTCCATGCCACCAGGCGATGCTGGGCATTGCCGGGAAAAGGTCGGGCAGCATCTGGGATGCACTTCCTTTCTCTCCTCTTTTTTTTTTTTTTTTGGTGAGGAAGATTTTCCCTGAGCTAACATCTGTTGCCAATCTTCCTCTTTTTGCTTGAGGAAGATTTTCCCTGAGCTAACGTCTGTACCAGTCTTCCTCTATTTTGTATGTGGGACGCCGCCTCAGCATGGCTGACGAGTAGCGTAGGTCTGTGCCCGAGATCCAAACCTGCAGAGCATGCTGAACTCAACCACTACACCTTGGGGCCGGCCCCTCTCCTCCTCTTGAGTTCACAAAAAAAAGGCGTGAGATTCTAGAATTTCTGCCTCAAGAGCCTGGTGGTAGATCCCTCTCCTTCCTTGTGGCCTGTTTCTGTCTCATTTACTCATGAATTCCTTCAGCCTTCGTGAACACCTGTTCTGTGCACAGCGCAGGGTGCTGGAAACACAGCAGTAAGCAAGGCCGACCTGCCCCTGTCCTCCCAGTATGAGGGGGCGACAGACGCACAAACAAGGCAGGGGTAAATGCAGGGCCCGAGAGACACCCCATGCAACGAGGTCTTAGGGAAGACTTCGGGCTGAGACCAGAGACACAGCAGGTGAGCTTCAGGCGGGAAGAGACACCTAAGCAAAGGCCTGGAGGTAGTGGGGTCAGGGGGAGCCAAGGAACAGGGCATAAGACAGCTAGGGGTTGCACGGGGGTCTGAATGTTCCCTTGCATCTTGGCAGGTGACCAGACTCTAGGAAGGGAAACTCAGGAAGGACGTGTGATTTTTTTCATTTTTTATTTTTTATTTTTTTGGTGGGGAAGATTGGCCCTGAGCTAACATCTGTTGCCACTCTTCCTCTTTTTGCTTGAGGAAGGTTGTCCCTGAGCTAATATCTGTGCCCATCTTTCTCTGTTTTTTATGTGGGATGCTACCACAGCATGGCTTGATGAGCAGTGCGCGGGTCTGCGCCTGGGATCTGAACCTGCGAAGCCCGGGCTGCCTAAGCAGAGCACGCCGAACTTAACCACCATGCCACGGGGCTGGCCCCTCCCCCCTTTTTTTTGTGAGGAAGATCAGCCCTGAGCTAACATCCGATGCCAATCCTCCTCTTTTTGCTGAGGAAGACTGGCCCTGGGCTAACATCTGTGCCCATCTTCCTCCACTTTATATGGGACGCCGCCACAGCGTGGCTTGACAAGCGGTACGTCGGTGCGCGCCCGGGATCCGAACCTGCGAACCCTCAGGCCGCTGAAGTGGAGCGTGCGCACTTAACCGCTGCGCCACCGGGCCGGCCCTGCCCCCCCCCCGCCTTTTTTTTTAAATCATTTCAGGCTCCCGTCCAAGCAGAGTGTTTTCCAAGAGAGCTTGCCGGTCAGAGGAAGATTTGGGTGCTGTGAACTGGGGGGCAAAAGCTGGGCTTTTATTCGATCTTTAGGCTAGTATCTCTTGGTACACACACCTTGCCCGGGCCATCTGGTCTCAGGGATCCCAGCTGCTGGAGGATGCAGCGAGGTGGGGCTTGTCCTGGGCTCTGGGCAGGGCCTGACTTCACAAATGCTGGGCACGTGGGGACAGCTGTACTTCATGGAGGCGGGCGGGGACACCGGGGGGGCACTGTGCACTCAGGATTCCCTCGCCAGTGTATCGAGGTCCAGACAGAAGAGAGAAGAGGAGGAATCTCAGGGCGGCGCAGGTGAGGGCAAGGAGATAACCAGAAATCCAGGGTACCGTAGTGACGTCTGGTTCAGGTCGGAGTCACCGATGGATGCGTCTGGCGCAGGGGGACCACTGTTCCCATCACCCCAGGGCATTACTGGCAGAAGCCACCGCAGCGTGCAGTCCACAGAGGGTGGGGCTTGTGTGTCGCATGGGCGAGCCTGTGTGACTGGGCAGCGCATCACAGTGATGGCCAGACCAGACTGAGACGTGCAGGCAAAGGAGACCAGGGATGGACAGATCAGAAAGAGGTAGGGGCAGCCTCATCACTGGGGCGTACAGCCCACACGGCAGGGAGAATGGTGACAGCAAGTGACATTTGTCAAGGTCTCACTGTGCCAGGCACTGTGCTGCATGTCACTGTGGCCTGCTGGCAAATGACAAACGATTGAGGCTCAGAGGCAAAGGGATAGTCAGGACAGGACAAGAGTGACAGGGACACGGGGCAGGCAGGGATAAGGGGACAGCTATGGGGGCGGCCGAGCGGATCAGATACCAGGACGCTACGCTTGCTGCCGTGACATGCGGCAGGTCGGGCTGATCAGCTGCTGTCATGGTCCAGCCATTTTGACTCTGGTCCCAGGCAGGTGGGTTACCGTGACGTTGAGGTCACACAGGAGGCCGAGGCCCGAACAAGAAGTTTGCAGCAGCCCAACGTCAGGCAGATGGCCCCGGCTGGGCGTCTGGGCCTCCGAGCACCAGGTAGATTAATCAGCAGTGTCCCTGTGGTGCCCAGGCAGGGACCAGGCAGGCGTGTCACAGCCTCGTTTAGGTGAGACAGGAGCAGCGGTTGGACGTGTCACAGTGGTGTGCAGAAACCCAATGGCAGGTGTGACAGGGTGACCCTCACATCCGACATGGGCTGGTGCCGCATTGCTGAGCCAAGTGGGTGCATGGTCTCAGGTGTCCCCAGGGCCCTCAGGGAGAACGCCCCCGGGGGAGTGGCCATCAGGAAAGCCATGTGGGCCCAGTGCGAGGTGAGGGGCTGTTCCTGCTGTCGGGGGCCAGATGTCCTGAGAGCCTGCTCGGTGGCTGAGCCTATGGCACAGGGAGGAGACTGACAGGGATGCCCGTTCCTGTGCCAGGGCAGCTGGGCCGGCAGGAGGGGGACATTTAGGGGAGGAAAGGGTGGGGTCTGGCACAAAGGGCTCCTGCCTGGACTCGAGAGCGACTGGTGACTCCTCCCCAACCGCACATGGCCCTCCCGCTCTCTGCTCCCTGAGTGTGAGTGACACAGCTGCTCCGAGCTGCCACCTCGAGCCGCTCTGCAGGGAGCGCTTCTCAGTCATCCTTCCCGCCCATCAGCCCTGGCCTCCCTCTCCCTCCAGGGAGAGTCGTCACCCCATGGGGACAGTCTGGGCCGCACAGAGCACGGTGAGCTGCCAGTACCCCTTCTGGGGGCAGCTGCGAGAATGTGTAGCTGCCTCTGGGGCCGTGGTCCACGGGAATGACGTCCACAAGCCCCACCTAGGCTGCCTCGGGGTGTCTTCACGACGCCCCCGTGAGCAGCTGGGCCTTCCACCTGCTTTCGACAGATGGGACAACTGAGGCCCACGGGCTGAGGACTCAGCTGGCTCCCGTGGCAGAGCCAGGCTCATGCCCTGGCCTCCTGCCTTTCTCCTAGAAGCCTCTAGAAAACTTTCCCACCACTGCCCTAGGGGCTCTTGGGGGTTCCTGGGTCCCAGCGTCTCTCTTCACCCTCTGCCCTGTCTCCTGCTCTCCTGCTCTCCTCTCTGACAGGGGCTGGAGGTAGATTTTCTCTCTCAGTGTGTGAGGGGTGGGAGGAGGCCGTGCTCTGTTCATGTTATGTTCGCGTGTGCACACGTGTGTGTGTGTGTGTGTGTGTGTGTGTGTGTGAGAGAGAGAGAGAGGGAGGGAGGGAGGGAGGGAGAGAGAGCAGGAGTGTAGGAACGGGGTGTGAGACCGGCATGGCTGTCGAGGGCACCACAGGGTCACGGTGTGCCGGAGGAAGGCACCACTTCATGGACGAGTATGACTCCGGCTGTGACTGCACACATCTGCAGGGAGAAGGCGTTCCAGGATGTGTGTTAGTGTGCACGCATGCATGCACACTCTATGGGAGGGGGTCGCACACTCCTTTCCACGTGAAGTGCCGCCCTGCGTCTGGAGCTCTGTGCCCCCTGACGCGAGGTCTCCCTGTGTGTCCCCGTGTCGTGTGTCCGCAGGCTACATCCAGAAGATCAAGTCAGGAGAGGAGGACTTTGAATCTCTGGCCTCACAGTTCAGCGACTGCAGCTCGGCCAAGGCCAGGGGAGACCTGGGTGCCTTCAGCAGAGGTGCGCAAGGGACGGGCACCACCAAGCCCTGGGGGACCCTGGGGCGCACCGGTGGGCCCAGCCCGGGAGTGGTTGGGGGGGGCGGCCCCTGCTGCACGGGCCTTCAGGGTCCACCAGGTGGCAGCACAGTCCCTCCCTCAGGCCCCAGGGGCTGCCCTGCTGTGGCTGAGGTGGGGGCTGCGGAGCCCTCTCCGCGCTGTCATTCCTTCCTGGGGTGGGGGGTTGGTCTGTGTGTCTCTCTGCACAGTTGTCCCCCTCATGGGCCCACCAGAGAGCGCACTTCCTGCCATTTGCCTCTCCTGCTGGGAATATAAGGCATAGGCCCCTGAGAGCCCCAGGGCATGTCCCCCAGAACATGTCACCCATCAGGGGTGAGGGGAGAGGGGTCAGATCAGCCGCCCTGAGTTTAGGCCTGTCTGGCGGGGGCAGTGGAAAGAGAGGAGAAGAGGGGACCAGGCCGCCGCTGCCTCCTCCTCCTCCTCCCTCCATCCCTGGGGTCTGCAGAGCATCAGGGAGGGGTCCAGGATGGGGCGGGGGGTGTGGAGGAGCCAACAAGGGGCGTCAGCCGCCCGCCCACCTGCCCCAGAAGGCAGGGGTACAAATGATGTGACGGGCTGGGAATCAGGCCCGAGAAGACGAGTGCATCACCAAAATGCGTCTGTAAACGCACGGCAGCAGTTCTGCCTGCCATCCCTCATGCTGTCCTCAGGCTTCCCGGGCCTCCTTAATGGCCCTGCCGCCCCCGCTGGGCCGCAGCTCAGCTCGTGACAGGGCCATAAACGGCGTGACGGATGAGTGGAAGGAGTGTGAGGCTGGCGCAGGCGGGAGTCCCATCTGCCCGGCCTGCCTGGTGCTGACCGGCAGCCCAGGCCTTGACCCCGCACCCCACCCCTCCCGCGTCCCCAGGTCAGATGCAGAAGCCATTTGAAGACGCCTCCTTTGCGCTGCGGACGGGGGAGATGAGCGGCCCCGTGTTCACGGATTCTGGCATCCACATCATCCTGCGCACCGAGTGAGGGTGGGGCGGCCGGGCCTCGCCCGCGGGGTGGAGCGGGCGGGACAGGGCGCCTGGGCCTGCAGACTCCACTCCCCGCTCCCTGCTAGTGTCCGCAGTATTTATTGTTCCCAGAGTGGCTGGGGGGCTCTTCCCCGGGGGGAGCTCCCTGTGCGCCCCTGGTTGGGGCTGTCCCTGCCAGACTCTCCTCCCCTTTAGGAATTGACTTCAGAAGGGCAGCCGGGCTGGGGAGGCCCCCAGACCCAGGGACTGGGGGTGACCTGTCCCAAAGAGAAGGCTTGGTTATCTGAGCTGTCCCCTGTGTCCCCTTGGGTCCAGGACGGGAGCCGGAGGGCCTTAAGTTGTTTCTGGTTATGCCATGTTCCTCTGTTGCAAAAAGCAGATCTGTGCGTGTGGCCTGGGGGGGCCGTGGGGCTCTCTCGGCAACAGTGCAGCACCCCCTATACCCTGATTAAACCTGGAACCACTGCTCTGCTGTCCTGTGTCTCATTTCTCCGCCGCTGAGGCCAGAGGGGCACCGTGGGGGGAGCCATCATCTCCCACCATCCCTAGTGTCCAAGCGTCCACCCTGCCTTTCCTCCCTGAGAAAGAAGAAATTCCCAGCATGAGTTCTTCCCAGCTGCCAGACACCCAGGGAGGCGGGGCACCATTCAGTGCCAGCGGTCTTCAAACTTGGGTGTTGAAGAATGTTCTAGAATGCACAGGCCCTGCCCCACGCCACAGCTCTAGCTTCAGCAGGTCAGGGTGGAGCTGGGGGATCCTGGGAGAGCCAGACTGAAGCCCCTCTGCCCTGGGTGCTCTCCACACACCCCCCACCCACCCCCTCCACACGCTGACTGCTCTCCGATTAGAGGGAATTACGCCCGGCACCCTGACGGCACCCAGAGGCCTGCTTCCCTGTCACCACAGCCCTGCTGGTAGGTTGTGCCTGGGTCCTGCCGCCAGACCCAGCACCCTCCGCGGATGCCATCACCATGGCGACAGGGAGCCAGCCTGGAGGGGAGGGGGCTACTGCCAGGCACCTCTGAGAGCAGGGATCCTGCACAGGCCCCTGGGGGAGGGAGGCCCTGTGCTCAAACAGGGGGGAGGGGGCTCCCTGTGGCGCTGAGGGAAGATGCTGGGCTCTTCCTCTTCGGGTGGGGGGGCGCCTGCCGGGGTGGGTGCTGTGGGTGTGGCCCACCTGCTCTCATCACCTCCCACAGCTGCTCCTGTGCCGGGGCCTGGGCTGGGGCCTCAGAGTTCAATGTAGGGGCTTGTGGGTCTGTTAGAGAGGTGCTTTGCCCTCTCTGGCCCCCTTGCTTAAGGGGGACCAGCCCAGATCAAGGGGGTGGCAGGCTGGCAGGCTTTGGGGACCTGAGCAAAATAAAGCCCTTCTTGGCTGGGCCCCAAGGGAGTCTCCCCACGAAGGCCTGAGTCTAATAAAGGCCCCAGTCTCATAAACAGTCATCTGGGCCAGCTCCCATCTGGCCGATTTCTGGAGCAATCGCTCTTGCTGCCCGCCGGAGCGGGAGTTTGCCATTAGGAAGGTTTAATGAATTTCCTCTCAGCTCTGGCGGGCTGGGGAGAGCGGCTGGTTGGCTGCACCTCCAGACAGAATCTTCTTCCATTGCCTGTGGGGGCCGCGAGGCAGGCAGCAGCCCCGCTGTTTGCGCCCACAGTTCTGTGGCGTTGGGGAAGCGATTGCACCCCTCCTAGCCCCATGGAGCCTGGGGAAGGATCAGAAATGAGTGCTGGGGGGACAGGAGGGTTTGCGGAGTCTACTCCAAGGCAAACGCCGATCAGAGAACGGGCCTGTGCCCCGATCTCACACCAAAGGCCCAGGTGAGGATCTCCCCGGAGCTCCTAGGCATCTGAGATGCTGGCAGGGAGGGGTGCGCATTTCCCTTTGCGGGGCTGGCAGGGAAATGGTCTTCGTGGCACCCCGTCGCTTTGGGCATCCGCGTGTGTGTGTGTGTCTGCCCGAGCGTGCGTGTGGCTGTGACTCTAGTTGTCCTTAGGTGTGTGTCTCACCTGTGCGACACTGGGAGTCCCTCATCTGGGCGTGACCTCCGTGGACCTCCCCCTTAGTCTAGCTGTGCAGCGGCCAAAACCCAAATACAAAAGAACGTCGCTGTTAGATAAACGTGCCCCGGAGCCCGCTCAGCGTCGGTAAAGCAGCTGTGGCTTCGCTCACCTGCTCCCCACCCACCCCACCTCCTGCCCAGAAGTGGGGCCGGAAATCCCAGGCCTTCAGGACGGTGACAGCGCGGTTTTCCCTCCCCTTCCTTCGGTCTGGCACCTTCCAGCGCAAACGGCCCCAGGGAGCTGCTTTCCACCCTTCTGCCACGGGCACCAGCTCAGGCATCTGTGGCCATGGGGCAGGGCTAGTGTGGGTCGTCTCAACTCGGGGTGACACAGGTACGGCCATGCGATGGGCTACAGAGCTTCCCCAATGTAGCCAGATACACATCCATGAGAGGGGAAGTCCGAGTTAGCAGTGGGCAGCCTAAGACACACACACACACACACACACACACACACACACGCACGCGCGCGCACAGATGACATGATCCTGGCCTGGCGAGGGGGGAGGGTGTTACTCCTCCTGTCCATCCTTGGTTGGAACAAAAGCCGCAAACGCAAAAGTGTAAGGAGCACTGGGCCTGCCTGTGTGTGTGTCGAGAGAGGGAGAGAAGCGGCGGTTATGGTGCAGTGTGTGTGTGTGTGTGTGTGTGTGTGTGAGTGGAGAGAGGGAGAGAAGCGGCGGTCATGGTGCCAAGCGCCTGTGGCATCTGTTGAAGGACTGGTGTGCAGATGTGACAGCCACACCCACACCCAGCCCTGTTCTCCGTGTGAGAATGTGGGTCTCCAGGTCTGTGTGTCTCAAATTTGGACAAAGGTTCAGCAGCCCGCAGTATGTCCCCGTCCTTACTTTGGGGGGAGTCAGTATCAGAGACCAATGAACGACCCCCTCCCCACCACCCTGGTCACCTTGGAGATTTGTCTCCAAATAAATACACATTGGAGGGGGGTGCAGACGTCCTAGGTGTCCCAGCCCTCTGCCTTTTTTTAGGCAGGTACCTCTCAACGTGCTTATCCAGGAATTGATGTTTTCCGATGTCAAACTTGTTAATTTAAATGGACATTAATTGCTTTTCTCGAAGATTTCTTGAAAAATTGGTTTTAAATGAGTGCATCAGGCAGTCACATTTATTATTCATTGGTTTCGTTTGCAGTATGGCCCCAGTGTCCCGGGTTCCCAGAGATGCCAGCACAGGGTGGAGATTATTTAATCAGGGAGGCCATTAATTAGAGATGGGGAGATGGGGGGGAGGGGGTCCTCCTCGAGGAGCAGGTTTCGCTTCGTCCGTGGCCTCAGCTGGGTGGGGTCTGGGCCGGTGGGCTGTTTGCACAATGTTCCTGCTTGGGATTCAGCAGGGGTCTATGGGTTGGGGTGAACGTGGGGCTGGTCGTCAGCGCTACGTTTGTTCCCAACCACTGTCGTCCCCACCCCACTCTGGCCACCAGGGATCTGGCTAAAATGAAGCCCTCATCTCGTTCTTCCCCTTCTGTGACCGCCAGACCCCACTCCCTTAGTCGTATCACTAAGACCCCTGAGGATTTGGCCTCTGTTTACTTGCTCAGTGTCTTCCTGACTCCCTCTCATGGCCCTTTCTGCCTCCCATCCTTCCTGGCCTGGCCCGTCCTTCCCCTCCAGGAGCTCCGGTCCCCAAGGTCCCCATGTCGGGGCCCATCCCTGCTCGAGCCCCTTCCAGCTCAATGGGCTCCAGGCGCGGGCTGTGAGTGTGTTCAACCGAAGGCACTCAGCCCACCTTCAGGCTGTTTCTAGCTTTCTGTTATTAACTCAGAACAGCTGCGACTCATTTAAAATCATTTTGAAATTACAAAGCAAAAAGAAGAAACACGAAAAATTGTACTGTGTCCTACCCTCTCCTACCTCAATTCTTGAAAGCAGCCAAATTGTTAAAAACCTATTTAAAAAGTTGCCAGACGGCTCAGCGACACACCAGAGTGATCAATGAGTAAAAACACCAGTGACGGAGAATACTCATTTGAGGCCAATTTTCATCGTTGTGATAGAATTCTCGGTTGTTTGGATCAAATTGCTTTTAAACGAATTGTTTTCAATCGAAATGACTTCAGACTGGGTCTCCTCACCTGTCTTCCCAAAGGGCCCACCCTGCTGTGCCCCCCACATGCCCCCCAGGCTGGGCTTGTGCCCCCGTACACAAAGCTTGCAGCGTGGGACAAGGGAGCCCAGCTCAGGCTGTGATTCCTCTCTGCCCCTTCCGGACACACACAGCCACCAAAGCATCAAATGTCCAAGGTCCCGTTTATTCCGGCAACCCGGAAAGAAAGGGTGTAAATAAAAAAAAGAAACAGATCCATGCACTCAACTCCTTGGAAGGGAAGCAGGGAGGGTGCAGAGAGAGGAAAGGAGACTGGATGGGAAGCAACAAGGGAGGGGAGGGAGGGCGGAGATGGACAGACAGACAGAGAAGCAGAGACAGGGAAAGGGACTGGAGAGTCAGATCAATAAAAAGAGACAGAGGGACAGCAATAAAAAGAACGAGAAAGAAGTCGCGTATCAAAATCAGAGATCAATAAAGGAGAAGAGACAACATTGAGAAAATACACCGATAGAAATAGGCAGAGAAGGAAAGCTGGGCAGGAAGGAGGGGAGAGAGAGAGGGCAGGACACAGACAAAGAGAACCTTGAAGGGACACAGGCGGAGTAGAAGGGGCCCCCGGTGGCCCTGGCGTGGCAGCCCCTAGGGTTCCCCAGCGGTGCTGATGACGTGGAAGAGGGTGACATTGTAGAGCACCTGGTGGCCGTTGTTCCAGGTGTACAGGGCCCGCTCCCGGGGGTTGTAATCCAGCATGGAGATGTGGGAGTACTGATTGTGGAAGGGCACGTCCGTGTACTCGTAACTGGACGTGTTGGTGAAGTAGGCGAAGTAGACCTTGGCCCCGGCCAGGTGGGAGTTGGTGACATAGAGCACGCCACAGATCATGAAGGCCTCGCCCGCGCTGCGCTTGGGGTAACCAGTGTCCCAGGACCGCACGACCTCGAGGGTGTGCGGGT